CCCCACCCCCCAATTACTGTGGTGCTGGCTATATCTTCTATCTTCCTGGCAACTGTAGTCAAACCTGGCCCTAGATGACCTCCCATTGTAAAGGAGATAAGTCAAGGGCCGCCAAGTAAACTATGGTACGTCATGTTTTTCCAATTTTACAGGAAAGACAAAAAACGGATTTCCTTGCAGCATTTTGGGTTTTTTTTCCTCTCCTGTAAAATGTGAAAAACACGACGTACCATAGTTTACTTGGCAGCCCTCGAATCATCTTACACATATGGTTTTCTTGGACAGTGTTGTTATGAAAAAGTAAAGGGGCAAAGTGGAGTGTGGTTGTTCATACAGGTGATTGTTTTGGACAGGTGATCGTCTCGTACAGGTTGTCATTAGAGCAGCTCAGACGGTGACACAAGAAGGCCTACATGTGCAGTCAGTTGTAGTACATATGTTGTAGTTACGCAAGATCTTCACTGGTGCTGGCAGACCCCTGTGACTCTGCTGCTGTTTTAAATACATACTTGTACTGCATTCATTCATGTTGCTACAGTTTGTTTTCAATAAAAATATTTTTATTATTATCTGCTTCTTCAGAACTGTGTTACTTTTCCGGGTGAATGTTTTTGTTCTTGTGTTGCTTTATGTTTTATGTTAATTGTTCTGATGAGTGTTTTTGTTCTTGTGTTGCTTATGTTTTATGTGAATTGTTCTGATGAGTGTTTTTGTTCTTGTGTTGCTTATGTTTTATGTTAATTTTTCTTATGAGTGTTCTTGTTCTTGTTTTGCATATAAGTTTTGTGTTTATCGCTGATTAGAACTTATAGATCAAATAAAAGGGTGGTTGGCGGGTGCTCTGGTGTGGTGTACTTCTTGTTTCGGACTTTCCTATCAAACATCTATCGTCCTTAGCTCCCCTCCGTCTTTTTTGTGTTTGTTACTCTCTTGTAACACCTCTAATCTTCGGCTGATTTTTAGGACGTAATTGTGTTGCAAGTGACGTAAGACTCTTGACTAAAACTAACGTTGATCTAATGGAAGTTGAAGCAGTGTGTGAGTAGGGCTCAGGAACTGGCTGCCACGAAAAGGTTTGAACCCCTGCCCTGTTCAACAGCCACTGTATCAGGATAAGTAACTTGTGCTCTGTTTTATTTTATATTTTTCAACTGTCACCACTAGCTGTATTTTATTTTAGATTTTTCAACCGTCTCCACTAGCTGTATTTCATTTTATATTTTTCAACTCTCCACTAGCTGTATTTATTTTTTTTTTTCATAAATGTCCCCACTAGTTGTATTTTGTTTTATATTTTACAACAGTATCTTCTAACTCAATTTTATTTTATATTTTTCAACCGTCTCCACTAGCTGTATTTTATTTATATTTTTTCAACCGTCTCCACTACCTGTATTTTATTTATATTTAGAACCGTCTCCACTAGCAGTATTTTATTTTATTTTTTCGAACCGTCTCCGATAGCTGTATTTTATATTTTACAACCGTCTCCACAACCGTTTCCACTAGACTTTTTTTTTTTTACCTTGTCCACTTTCTGTATTTTATTTTATACTTTCCAACTGTCTCCGCTCTCTGTATTTTATTTTATACTTTCCAACTGTCTCCGCTAGCTGTATTTTATTTTATACTTTCCAACTGTCTCCGGTAGCTGTATTTTATTTTATATTTTAGAACCGTCTCCACAAGCTGTATTTTATTTTATACTTTTTAGCTGCCTCCAATAGCTTTATTTTATTTTATATTTTTCAACTGTTTCCACTAGCTGTATTTTATTTTCTACTTTCCAACTGCCTTCACATACTGTATTTTATTTTATATTTTTCAATCACCTTCATTCGTTTTATTTTTTTTGTTGCATTTTTCAACCGTCTCTATAAGCTGTATTTTATTATATATTTTTCAACTGTCTCCACTAGCTGTTCTTAATTTTATATTTTTGAACTGTCTCCACTAGCTGTATTTTTTTTTCTATTTTCCAACCGTCTTCACGCGCTGTATTTTATTTTAATGTTTTCTATTGTTTCCACTATTTTTGGGGTTTTTTTAAACATTTTTCAACCGTCTCCATAAGCTGTATTTTATTACATATTTTTGAACCGTCTCCACTAGCTGTATATATTTTATATTTTCCTACTGTATTTGTTTGTTGTTTTGCAAGTCTTCACGCCTTGTAGTTTGTTTTACATTTTCCAATCGTCTCCGCTAGCTGGATTTTATTTTTTTGTCTTCTGACCGTCTTCACGTCTTGTGTTTTGTTTTATTTTATTTTATACTTTTCTACCATCTCCACTCGCTCTAT